CCCCATGGTCTCAGGGGGTGTCGGGGGGGACAGCAGCTGCCCCACAGGCTGCCCCATGGCATCAGGGGGTGCCCCTTGGTGTTTGGGGGGACCCCAGGGGGACAGCGGCTGCCCCATGCGCTGCCCTGGGGGGGGCCAACCTCTGCCCCATAGCCTCAGGGGATGCCCCACGGTGGTGGGGGGGCTGCCAAGGGGCCCAGGCTCTGCCCCACAGGGTCCCCTGGGGGTCTGGGTGTGCCCCCACCCCAGGGTTTGGGGGTCCCCTGGGGGTCTTGGTGTGCCCCCCCAATGGGTTTTGGGAATCCCGTTACCTCTTCTTGGCGATCTCATTCTGTCTCTTGACCTTCTCCTCCTCGAACTCCCGGATGTTCCTGACCCCGATTTCACGGCAAAACTCCTCAAACACCTCATCCTCCACCTTGGGGGGGGCAATGTCAGCCCTACAGGGGCTCCCCCAAACCCCTGGCCCCCACCTCGTGCCCCACAGGTGTCCCCCCAAAAACTCCAGCACCCACCTGGTTCATCTTCTCCTTCAGGTCCTTCATCTCCCGCTCTCGGCCCTGGATGATCCTTTTAATATCATTAATGCGAGGCCCAAAATTGGCCAATTCGCTCTCCAGTTTCGACTTCTCCTGCGGGGGGGCAGAAACGGGGGTCAGGGAATGCCAAGGACCCCCACCTGCACCCCAAAATCCCCCCTTTGGACCCATACAGACTCAGTAACACCCATGGGAAAAGCATATGCTCTCTGTAAAACCCCTGAAACAGCCACTTCAGAGCTTGTAACAGCTAAAAGCACCCCCATAATGCGCCCAAAAAGGATGTAATCCCCCCCAAAATGCCCCTCCCCGGGGTGGGCGTGTGAGCAGTACCTGGAGATTGAGGGCGAGGTGACGGGTTTTCGTCTGCTCCAGGTCACTCTGCGAATATTTGAGTCGCATCTGGAGACCGTGGGCTTGGGACTGGACTTGGCGTAGTTCGGCTTCCTTCCGCTTTGCCTTCATCTGCTCCTATGGGGGGGCATAAGGGGGGGAAAAAGGGGGTGTGGGGGGGGAATTCACCTGCCTGGGGGATCCCCCGACGCGCAACGGCTGGTGAAGAGGAGCTGTGCTTAGTTTTGGGGTCTGTAACATGCTGGTTTTGGGGTTCAGCCTTGTCCCTGGGACAGGGAGCCCCAAAATGTTGGAGGTGATGAGAAAGTAGTAGTTTTGGAAAGGGGCGGAGAGAGAAGAAAAAGAAGAAGTTTTGGGGTCTGCGTGGTGCGTGGAAAAAGGGCAAAGAGCCGGTTTTAGGGTCGAAAGGAGCCTCAGGAGGCACAGATGGAGCTTTAGGGTCCGATGGAAGGAATTTGGGGGTTCACGGGGACTTTGGGGATTGCTAAAACCTGAAAAGTGGGTTTTGGGGGGCAGACGAGACCCCCCCGGGAGGGGAGAAGGGGGGTCCGCATGCCCACCCCCCCCAACCTTGAGCTCCTCCGTCAGCCGTTCCTTTTTCTCCTTCAACTTATCCACTGCCTTCTCGTCCCAGCGCCGGGCTTTGGCCTTCAGATCGCTGGCCCCCCCTGAAATCACCCCTGATTTTTGGAAGAGGGTCCCATCCAGCGCCACCGTCTGCGGAGATAACGAAGAAAAGGGGGTGGGGTAAACAGCCTGGATACTTGGGTCCTCGTTAGGTGGGGGAAGGGAAGCGAGGGACCCCCACTTTGTGCCGCTGGTGTCCCCCGAAGGCGATGCGGCGGGCGTCCTCCACGTTGTCACAGACCAAGGCGTTGCCGCAGGCGTATTGAAGGGCTTTTTTGATGTGGGGGGGTTCGTACCGGATCACGTCGATCACCAGCTTCGCCCCCTTCAGCTCCCGGAGCTTCTCGTCCGTCGGCTTCACCTGCGGCCGGAGGGGATTCAGTGGCGGCCCCCCAAAATCCCACAAGTCCCAGGGGATTCAATACGGACACCCAAAACCCTGGGGAGGGCTCTGAGCCTGAAGGGGTTAAACAGGGACCCCGAAAACCTCAGGGAAGGCCACAGGTCCCAAGGGGTTAAATGGGGACCCCGAAAACCCCAGGGAGGGCCATGAGTCCCAGTGGGTTTAAACGGAGTCCCCCAAAACCCCAGGGAAGGCTCTGAGCCTCAAGGGGTTAAACGGGGGGCCCCCCCCAAAACCCCAGGGAGGATCCTCAGTGCTGAGGGGTTAAAGGAGGCACCCCCAAACCCCAGGGAGGATCCTCAGTGCTGAGGGGTTAAAGGAGGCACCCCCAAACCCCAGGGACGGCCACAAGTCCCAGGGGGTTCATCAGGGACCCCCAAAACCCCAGGGATGGCTCTGAGCCCCACAAAGTTACATGGGGTCCCCCAAAACCCTGACACCTCTAGGACGATCCTGAGAGGTCAAACGGGACCCCCCCAAACCCCTGGGATGAGCCTGAGGGGTTGAAGGGGTCCCCCCAAACTCCTTGCAGGACCCTGGGGGGTTAAATGGGCCCCCCCAAACCCCAGGAAACACCCTGAGAAGTTACATGGGTGCCCCCCGAACCCTAAAGACCCTCGTCCCCGAGGGATCCCCGCACCATCCCCACGCTCCGGTGCCTCACGGGGTCCCCGGGGAGCCCCACAACCCCAAAAAGAGGGGTGTCCCCGCACCCCACCTCCAGATAATCGAGGGGGAGGAAGGTTTCGGGTTCTCCCCGCTGCTCCTTGATGTACTGGATACAATCGCGCCCCGTTTTTTCTGAATCGACGATGATGGCGTCCATGTTCTTCCCCAACACCTTGGTCACAGCGATCTGGTATTTCTTCTGTGTGGGTTGGCACAGATCGATGAGGCGGCCGTACTATAGAGGAACCAAAAATTAAAACAAAAAAAACAAAAAACAAAAAAAGGAGTGAACAGCGAGCTGAAGGGTTGGGGAAGGGGCAGAGCGGGGTTCGGGGCGGGATGTCGGACTCACCACGGAGCCGGGATAGAGGCGTTTGATGCTGTCCATGATTTCGGCTTTACGTTGTTGACGGCTGCTCTCCTGCCGGTCAATGCGAGCGTCCCCGAGTTGTTCCATCACCTGGTTCAGCTCTTTGTTGATCTCATCGATGCGACGTTTAGCCAGTTCTACTTCTTCCGTTAATTCTCCTTCCAGACGTTTCTGCTCTTCCAGAGATTGTCTAGGGAGGGGATTGGAAGGGACGGGGGATTTGATGGGCTGCCCCAGGGCATGGGGGCGAGGGGATGGGAACAAGGGATGCCTCGGGGACACGGAGATGGGGGGTACAGGGATGGGGAGCACCTCAGGGGTTGCCCCAGGGGGATGGGGAATGCCTTGAGGGCATGGGGATGAGGGTACAGGGACAGAGATCACCTCGGGGACTGCTCTGGGGGCGTGGGGACACAGGTAGGAGGGCAGGGGACACGTCGTGGTCACCCCCGAGAGCTCGGGGACAGGGGCACGGCGATGAGGGACGGCTCAGGAGCAGCCCCAGCGGCGATAGGGATGGGGGTAGAGGGACAAGGGACACTTTGGGGGCTGCCCTGGTGGCACAGGGGGATGGGGAACACCTTGGGGACTGCCCCAGGGGCACGGAGACAGGGATACGGGAACAGGGGACACCCCAGGGACTGCTTTAAGGACACAGAAATGGGGTCACGGGGATGGGGGACACCTCGGTGGCAGCCCCAGGGGCATAAGGACAGGGACATTGGGATGTGGGACCAACTTGGGGGGCTACCCCAGAGGCACAGAGACATGGAAACAGGGCGAAGAGCCACCCTGGGGACAGCGGGGACACTTTGGGGACAGGGTCTCACTTGCTGGTGGCGATGTACTCCTCCAGCTTCTCGATGCGCTTCTGGTTCTCCTCGATCTCACGCAGCTTCTGTTTGATCTTGGCCTGGGGACGAGAGGTGAGGGGGGCTGAGGGGGCGGCCGTGGGGGGTCTGGGGGGGTTTGGGGGGTTTCCCCAGACTCACCTCAGTCTCCACCTTCTTCCTTTCCTCCAAATCCAGCCGATCTTGGTCGGCTTTCTGATCCCGGTTGAACTTTTCCAGCTCTTGGGCCAACGTGGCGGCGCGTTTGCTGGCCTCCTCCTTCAGCCGGTGGTATTTTTTCACCTAAGGGGGGGATAACCCAGGTGAGGGGGGGGCCCCCCAAATTTACACGGGGATGCCGGGACGAGCCCTACCTGGTTCTCTTCCAATGTCAGGTCTCGTCCTTGACTCTGGCTCTCCTCTTCCATCCGTTCCTCGAATTCTTGCCGCGCTTTTTCCACCGACAGCATCTCCTTCTCCAGCTCATCCATGTCGCCCTTGCGCTTCTTGTACTGCTTCTGCGCGTTCTGCAGCGATTTCTTGGCCGCTTCCAGCTTCTTAATCTTGTGCGAGGTGTTTTCCTTCGCCTTGATGTACTGAGGACGCTTCTGGTTGAGCTCTGAATCCTTCTCCCTGCGAAAAATAACACGGTGAGGAGCTGTAGAAGCGCCTCACTGAACCCCTTCCCCGTTTTTGGGGTGCCTCACTTGATCTCCTTCTCGATCTGTTGTTGTTCCCTCATCATTTTGCCCAGCTCCTTCTTGCGATCTTTCAGCTCGTCTTCCACCCGATCCATCCTTTTCTTATCTTTATCGATCTCTCGGTTTTTCAAACCCAATTCCTTATTGAGTTTCTCGATCTCCGCTTCGTTGTGATAAAGCTTGAAGAGCTGGAGCTGCACTTGAGCCCGCACCACTTCGTCCTTCAATCGCTGGTAACGATCCGCCTAACGCGAACGAGGGGGAAATACAGCGTCAAAGGGGTGCGATATTGATGGGGGGACCCCCCAATGTCACCCCCCCCAAACCTCTTCTTTCTCCTGCTTGGCTTCTTTGCGCTCGGCGGCGATGTTTTTTTTGCGGTGGTAGTTGAATTGAGTGTCCTCCTCCGCTTTCACCATCTCTTTCTTCCGCTTGTCGTATTCCTGCGCCAGCTCGCCCGACCGACTGATCTCCTCGAACAACGCCGTCCGCTCCTTGGGGTTCTTCATGGCGATGGATTCTACGGCGCCCTGGGGAAGAGGGGGTGTCGGGGGGGGGGGAAGGCTCCCCAAAACTTCACAGCGGGGTCTGAGTTTTCCCCTCTGTGGAGACAACCCTGCAAATCCTCACGGGGCTCCTCCATGGCCAGGGAATGGAGTAAAGGGGGTGGTAGGGCATGGACCCCCCCCCCCCAAACACCCCCAAATCCTCACAGGAGTCTGGGCCCCCCCTCTATTGAGGGGGAATGGGGGAGACCCCCCAAATTCTCACAGGGGTTTGGGCTGCCAGATGGGGAACAGGGTCTGGGACCCCTATGTGGTTGGGGGTGGCAGGGTAACGACGATCCCCCCCACCCCAAATCTCATGGCAGTCTGAACCCCTCCCCCCAAAAAAGTGGGGAACAGCCCCTGGGAGCACCCTCAGCACTATTCACCCTGGCAAGGGGCCCCTCTAAATCCCTGCCCTCCACTCTGAGCCCACACATAGCCCCCTCCCCAAACCGCGCTTACCCCCCCAGACCACCCCAAACCCACACATACCCCCCAAA